GACAGAGAGAGAGAGAGAGAGAGAGAGAGAGGATTGACTGACCATGCGAAAATGAAACGATGAATAATTGAGAAACGAGTGGTAATTTTGCTAATGAAAATAATATCATTAGGAGAAATATCATATTTTCAAAATAATTATATTTATTCGATGAAAACGATTATATCTTGGATATTAATCATTCGACAAGATTCAAAATCGAATCGATCATTCAGAATTAAATTGATATTTTGACTATATACGTTTATAATTAACGATAAATTTGTGTAAGAGAAATATTGTAAATTCCTTTCTGGATATTAAACGATTAAACTATTAGCAATTACAACAAGTAAGTAAGATAAAAATTTATCTAGAATTCGTTCAGAAATTTCGCGAATTTATATAAAGATCGGATTCGTTGGAATTTCGAGTTGATTTCTAGAGAATAGAAATTGTGACAGAAAATGGTTACAATCACGTGAAAATTCTTCAACGAGATCCTAGGGGAATAGAAATTGCGACTTGATTCGTGTACCCACAAGGGATTTGAAACTCGAACTTCCTTACTCGATCCTTCACTCGTTTATCGTGGTAAATAAAACGTATACAAAATAAGCATAATCGATGATTATGCATAATTGAAACTAGAGAATACTTACAAAGAGAATTATTCTGTTTAAATGTCGAATTATAATATTATTTTCTCGAAACAATTTGTATGCACGATTATGATTCTCGATACGAAGTACAATAGCAGAAGCAACACGGTACAGTTAGGCGGATAATCAACTGTAATAAATTGTCCAATTCACGGTGACGTAGGATGAAACGCGATAGAGTCTACATCTGTATATTCGGGCCAGGACACTGCAGTTACGCTCGAAAGTTTCGAAACTGCAGAGTGGACGTAGAATTGGCTCCCTTTAGATACGTTACAGGCATTGATTTTCAAGTCAAGTGGCATTTCGTTCTTCCAATGCAAACGGAACTTTTTATTTTCATTCACGAATAACAATACGAACGAAACGATGAGATTTATTCGATGAAATGATCTCAAACTTGAAAATTTCTATTTATCTTCTAATATTCTTCATTTATTCCATATTACAACGAACGAAATAATCGAAGATTATGCGTTCACAAATCGAGAATATATCGAACGTACCTCGAATAATTATCGGATTAAAACTTTTACCGTTATTTGTATCGAGGAGAAAATCAACAACGTCGGGAAGAAAGCTGTTGTTGGACGACTCGAACAAACGTTGAAGTTGGAAAATGTGGGTCGCTGGAAAGTCTGCAGTTGCGCAAGTTGAGTTGATATTCTACCGACTGCGATTGTCATGCGTACCAGTAATACAGTTAGTTTCTGTACATGTCGGTGACTTGGTATTACTGCGATGAAACTTCGCGCTGGCTTCTTACTTCTCCAAATTCTGTGAACTTGCTTGCATCACCGTTCTGTTTTCTATGTACATTGTCTTACACACCTAACCTATATATATATATATATAGAGAGAGAGAGAGAGAGAACGGTTTCCAGACTTTATGCACGAATCACGGCCTCGCGTTACACGGTGAACGGGGAACTTGTTTTCGTTAAAACGTACAAGTTTTCGCTCGTTGTGCTAATAAACTTTACTTCGCTTCCACGTAAAAGCCTCGTTTTAAAATCGAAATTTAATTCCCGTATTTTCGATCTCCTAATTATCGAGGATCTCCAAAACTGAGAGTTTTGAAAAAGTTTTGAAAGATTTTCTCAGAAATGATCCGTATTTGAATTTATTTAATGTTCAATTTTAATGTTTATTTTATTAAGAAACGATTCTTAATAATTTAAATCGTAAACACACTTATCGTTATCGTTTAAAACTGTGTATCCATTCTTTCTCTCTCGATTAATATTCTAAAATTTTTATTCGTCATTACGAATTCGTCGTAGATATTATTCAATGAAATTTAAACTATAATCCATTCTCTGTCTATATATATTTAAAATTTACAAATTATTACGCCGACGTGTCATTGTTGTGCGTTCAAACAAAATTCTAATTCGATTGATCCTTCCCCGCGAAATCACTTGTTTCGCGTTAACAATTTATATTATTAACGGGGAACAAAAGAAACAGCCAAATCTAGAACGAACAATGAAATAGTGTCTGGCATGAACGCAAGTCTGTATCGCGAAGCGGTTAACAGGAGTACGTGATTCATCGAACGAGCTCTGTTCAGGACAATTTCGGGTGAGATTGTTTGCAGTTCCTCGCGTTCAACAATCATCCCCAAAACACAATCAGAACGAACTCCTTTCGATAAACGCTTAACATCAGGCAGAAACAATAAACCAACAGTTCTCGCTAACGTACCCTGTTAACTTAAAATCCACCTTCCAACTAATAATTGCTTTTACGTTAATTTGAATTCACCGCTGTTGGACCTAGTTCTCCTTAACTATTCACTGTCAGCTACATAGACAAATCCATCGACAAATTGACTATCCTGAAATCCGTTTAAATCCCAAACTTTTTGGACTAGAAACTTTCAACGCTCCCCCTCTCCTTGCTCGCTTACTCGGTTAACGATCCCTTCAAAAGAATTGGATTAGATTTCGAAAATCTTTCTTTCACAGTCAATTCCGGAATATTTTTTTCTTCAGTTTCTTATACGTAATAACATGCCACTCGTGTATTTTGTGTATTCGTGCGTCTCGATTCCGTTTTGTCTTCTCCCATCGAGCTGAGAACAAAGACACCACCCATATCCGTATAACATAGTTTATTCCTATTTCCTTTATTAAATATACTCTATGTTATAATCGAATTCTAATCTAAATAGGTATCAGAACCTATTCTGCATTATTCTTATGAGAAATATAAGGCAAATTAGTTTTTCAAACTAACATAAGTTCAAAATTTATTCGTATTATTCGTAATATAAAATGTTTATTGGAAGGTTATAGATCGGTTAACGCATCCTTCTATTATGTTTGCAAATTGGATATTTATTAACGATGTCCAGTGTTGAAAGAAAACCCAATTTGCAAACTAACTAAACAGATTCACGAAAATTTAATGCATATAAAGAGAAATTCAAGATCGTTAACCGGATCAAACTAGATTCCCTAATAACACGATCCGATCTCGTCTCGGCTACTAATCTCACATTCATAACGGTGCTCTAATTCTCGCTTTCTTCCCGTGTAATGCAAAAAAATATGTTGAAATCATCGAATCGAAACACGGAATATTACCCAAAATCAGACTCATATCGAATCCATATAACACGAGAATCAGAGGAATGTGGATACGAAAAAAAAAGGTTGTCGAAATTTTTGCGGATGGAAATTCGAAATCAGATTACCTTCGTTCGAAACGCGCGCGCGTGTGTGTGTGTGGAGATATAAAACTCCAACTACACCAACGTAATTGCTCGCTGGAATAATAAAACATTGTCGCCATTGTTCCCTCCTCCTCCTCCTCCTCCTCGGTTGCCGATACGCGCACCCTGCAAGATGTGCACGGCCTAGTTCTCTCTGCGATTCAATCCTTAGAACTGTCCTGCCGCCGCTACTTCGATCGTGCCACACCGCGCGCCTCTTTATGCGGCATCCATTACTGGGGCAAACTGAGATGAGCCGTGCCGTAATTATCGAACTCTCGAACGGGGAGGGCTGTTCAGTTCCAGGGATCGCGCAGGTGTTCCAAAAATTGCACGGAACGTTCGCCTCGAGAGAAATAGAGAGAATAGAGAAATAGAGTTGGAAACGATCTGTCACTGGCATAAATTAGAGGAGAAGGAGGGGTTGTTCGTTACGACACTCTGACTCCATATAGGTGCGCAAACTTGTTTAAGGGTGGCTCGAGGCGCGTGTATTCATTGTTCTTACGATCGTTGTTCCGGATAAGCTTGTACGTATATATATATATGTGTGTGTAAGGGTTGTTTGGAGGAGGCGAACTCTTGCTTGGAATATCGCTTGATCTATCGGCGTGGAGGAGGGGATAGATGTGGAGGATCTGTCATTCGCAACACGCGCCCCTATTCATTTGTGCGGGGGTGAAGTACGTTTCTCTCTCTCTCTCTCTCTCTCTGCGTCTGGTTTGCCGCGTAACCGATTCAGAATCGGATACGTTTACACGCCTCGAGGATTCCTTTTGAGACCTAACGATCTAAAGGGATCAGGTCGAGGAAAAATGGTACGGCTGGATAATGGTACGGTTCACGCAACGGATGATCGTTATTCGAAGCGACGTTTGTTTCGTTTAATAGTCGAATTCCTTTTCGAGAGACTGATGTAATTAGGGGGCTCGATCGATGGAGAGATGATAGACGCAAGGAATGGTTTTAATTGGAAGAAATAAATAATAGGAACGTTTGTTTCGTTTAATTTTCTTAGAGAGTCTCTGAAGCGATTAGGGATCGATTGATGGAGATGCAATGACGAGCAGGAATATTTTTTTCGCTAGATTCTCACGAATCTGAAGGAAATTTCTATCTGTCCAGTCAAATTCATCTCGAAAAAGAAAAAAAGAAAGAGAAATAAAAATCTCTTCGAGTAGAGATTCAGGGATAAAATTTATCGGGCACAATTGACCTAATTCGCTCGCTTAGCTTCTCTCGAAGATACGTTGCTCGACAATTGATAATCTTTCCCCGTTGAAAATTCGAGGAACAAGTACCACTTCCCGTGGTTAAAATACGTACACCGATCCACGAAACGTGGCGTAGATAATTAGAGTCCCGTTTGAATGAAATGGAAGAGGCCCCCTCCCTGTTATTCGGCCCCGATTCTTAACCGGGCTCCACCGTTGTTCCATCGCTGTTCAACCGTATTAATTAAACAACCCGTCGAAAAGAGTGCTCGATTCGAATAAAAAAAAAAAAATAAATTCAACGCGACGCCCCTACGAACGATGAAACGAGCACAAACTGGTTATCGTTCTCGTTGGGGGAGAAGGAAAAAAAAAAAAAAAAAAAGAAAAAACAGAAAAACGCGAATCGATTTGCAATTTGAAAGAAAATCGCGCTCCTCCACGCCACGTTTTTCTTTCTCCCCCAACGAATACAGCCCATTGACTCACGAATACCACCCCTCTCCATCGATCGAGCCGACTAAAGCATCGCGCTTCTCTTCTATTCCGGGGCGTTAATTAAACCCACCTTCTGCCCTTTCCTCCCCCCCCCCCGAAAAGGGGTGGCCAACTATTTTCCCCCGCCTTCGATGCAAATAATCTGGTTAATTGAAATACAATAATCTCGAAAGAGGGACAAAGGGAGGGTCGAGGTTCTTTTTCCTCGACACGCGAACAAAAGAGGGGAGGAGGGGGGAGAGTGTCGAGGAAAAGGAACAATAACTCGTGGTTCGAAGCTGGCGCGATATAAGCGGTTTCGGCTCGAGGTAATTAATATGCATAAAAACATAACGACTGAGCGATAAGAAGACGGCGACGGCGGCGAGGACGAGGTAGGCACGAGAGAATGAATCGGCACAATGCTCGTGTTCCCGCTCGTCTGCGCCCGAGCAGCTATTAGATAGTATTGTTAATTCATCGTGCCGCTGACATTTCATTTGCGGCCTCACAATGGGAATGGAGTGCGTAATGGCCGCGCCTCGTTGCGCCCGACTCCCCTTCCCCGGAGAAATACCATGAATATTAATTTTTTCCAGGCTTCCTCCTCCCCGGGACGGATGTAATTCGACCTTTCTCCCTCCCTCCCCGTTCAAATTTCGCGCTTTTCCTTCGTGCGCGCCCAAACTTTCTTGGGACAGCGAAGCGAACGTGCAACATTCCTTGTAGCAAGAACGGAGCTTTTGTTTCTTCAGAGTGTGAAAGAAAGGGGAAGGAGAAGAAGAATACGAAGCATGGAGATTGCACAAAACAAATATTATTAAAATTATTGCAATAGAATATAGATAAAAGTGAAGGATCGATAGATTGTAATTATAAATTATCTCTGTTAAATCTCTTTCCTCGAGATTTAGACAGATTTTCAATTTTACAATCCGACTCGACGACTCTCTCTCCCCTACTTTTCCTTACCACCACCACCTGTACCTATGCCGGTCTCGTATCCCATCAAGGGAGAAGAAATCCGCGCCGGAATCCCCGGAGGCGTTGCACGCTTGCCTTCTCCAACGTATCGTGTTTTTGCCTCGTGTGCATATACGCGTACAGGGAAGAGAGAAATAAAAAATTTCCGAGTAATTTTTCTCCGCTTTAGCATCGTGGCCGTATTACCAGAAGGGAAGGAAAGGGAAAAAAGGAGTAGAAACTAAATTCATTTTCGCGGAACAGTCGCCGCGCGCAAAATGGAACAATATTTTCCCTTCGTTTCACGTTTATCCGGCGAAATGGCCGTGAGTCGGACGACACCGAATTTTCGACGGCTAGGAACAGGGAGGGAGGGTGGGTGGGTGGGTCACACGTTTTAACCACCAACTCTTTTCCTTCTCGCGGTCGAAATCGCTTTAACGGCGGCGCCTCGTGTTGAACGATGGGGCTGAATTGCGCAACCTTCGCGCCCACGCCTGACAACTGGCCTCTATCTTTCAGCTTTTTATTAACCGGTGATAGTGTGTTCAGCGACCGTCCAACTGAAGGATACGGGTAATTACGTTGGCCGAGAAATGAATTTCTTTCGGGGTTAAGGGGGATCGTGTGGACGGAGATGAAATTTCGTACATAAGTTTCAAATCTTTGGGTATGGTGAGAGACAACGAAGATCTAATGTAATGTAACAAGTGAAACGTCCAATTTTTAAAATATCAAATATCAATCGCGATGCTGCGGTAATAAAATTTGGAAATTCGATCGAGGAAACGAACAATTATGAATGCTCTCCAATCGAAACGATCAAGAATAAGTGAAGTATCAAATGTTAATCGCGATTCTGCGGTAATAAAATTTGGAAATTCGATCGAGGAAACGAACAATTATGAATGCTCTCCAATCGAAACGATCAAGAATAAGTGAAGTATCAAATGTTAATCGCGATGCTGAGGTAATAAAATTTGGAAATTCGATCGAGGAAACGAACAATTATGAATGCTCTCCAATCGAAACGATCAAGAATAAGTGAAGTATCAAATGTTAATCGCGATTCTGCGGTAATAAAATTTGAAAATTCGATCGAGGAAACGAAGAGGAGTTTCGAACGCTCTCCGATCGAAACAATGTTGTTTTACGTTGATCACGTTGTACCGTACGAGTAAATCGATATTGAGGAGCGAGAAAATTATCAGAGGACGGTGTTAAAAGTTGACTTACCCGAGTCGAAGGTGCGGCAGAGCGGCGGGGAGCAGAGAAAAACGAAAACGGCGATCAAAATGGGTCGCAAGGGAAGGTCCTGTCCGGGTCGGAGAGGCGGCATATTGGCGGTGACCTGAGCCATCGGCGAGCCGACAACCTGCTCCTCCTCATCACTAACTGTCGACGATCCTGACCGCATCGGTCATCGAGCACGTTCCTGGCATCGTGATGGCCGAAAGGTGGTGAGTGTTCTCGCCGATAACCTGCGCATAGTATAATCCCTGTTAATCCCTCGGCAGACGCCGCGGAAACGTCGTCCCTGGCACACGGTTGAAACCGGTTTGGTAATAGTCGAGTCGACGTTATTGACGTTAATGCGATTTAAAAGGTGAAGGGTGCCAAATTATCATAATATCGCGATCGTTCCAATCGTACAAATTGGACGCAAGACGATGTTGCGAAGGGTTAAAAAAGATTTTTTTTTTTATACAAAGTTTCGTCGCTTTTAACTCTGAGGCTTGGATCACTTGGATCGATGCGGCAATTTGAACGACGATGATATATATTTATGTTTGATTTTCTTAAAATATTACGAATAGATTCTTAACCTCTTTACACTTTATAATCTTATAAAGTGTAGAATAATATATTATATCGAATGGTTAGATTTTTTTATCTCGAATTAAACCGTGATTACGGATCGAACTACGTTTTCGGCGTTGCAAGAAATACAGTAATGAAATTAGTTCGAGCAAAGATGAGTTTGATTTCTTGTTATTCAATAACGAAATTATTTCTATTCGTTAAGAAATGGACAATAGAGAGAAAGAAAATAGAGATGTAGTATAAGAAGATGAAAAATAAGAATAGTAGATGTGAGAGACGTTATCGTACTTTATTATTAAAATATCACGCAAAACCACATTAATTTTTAATATTCGATAAATTTTCTTTCTTTATACGATAAAGATACATAAAATATTAAAATATGAAAATTTTATAAGAATTCGAGGATTAGCGCAAATTTTTGAGGAAAGAAGAAGAAACGATCGATCGATTCGTTTTCGAAGAAAGGTTTAAGGTTTAATGTTTGAGGTTAAATTTTGGTGAGTATCGTCTCGTGCTTCAAACGAGCGATAGAATTCGATCTTCTGACGTTGGATACGTGTACATTGGTCGAGCTGACATTTCGTTTTCCAGAACACGATCGTTCCTCTTTGAAATCGGTAGAACTTGGCGAGAGTATTCTGTTCGAATTCGCATTGCCTACGCGTGGAGTAATGAATCCAGCAGCTATTCGAGCCCCGACGAAATTTGATTCAACTCGGTTGGACTTAACGGAACTTAAATGCACTCAAATCCTAAAGAGATTATACCATCGAATTTCACGTGACATATAGTTCTGCGACACTGGCGCAAGATCAATATTTCATACTGAAATATGTATCCGCAAGTAGAATTCCACCAATGTTAAATAACACGTACCGACGATGAATTTGAGTTTCCGCGAATTTACATCGAGATACAAATATCTATCTACGCAAGTATTTCAAAATAGACAAAATGAAATAATTCAAAATAATTCCCATGGAATTAGAGAATATCAATAACTTTTGCATATATTTAAAATCAGACGAATTGAATTCTTCAAGAATATCTTGGAAATATTTAAAATATTCCCGACAATCATACGATTTATTAATGAAGCTTCGGTATCAAACGTGGTACAGCATTGGATCTCGTTGAGCAAGATGAGATTCAATCGAATCTTATTGCCGTTGAATAAGATCCAATCGCGCTCCATTCGTATCGAATCAGGCCCTACGAGTCGCCATCGTGTCGGACCAAAGCTATCCCTTGATCGGCGAGAGAAGCAAAGGGGTCATTGCGTGCCGATATAAATACCGATATATCGGCTTCGAATCAATTCCATTAAGTATCGTTATTCGTTTGCGCCTTGTCGAGCCGCGCTCGCTTTGCAATCGTTCGACCAATGATGAAAACAAATCGTCACTTTCCATCGATCCATCCATCAAATATAATTCGATGAATCGATATCGATGTTTATCGTCCTTCTTTACGAATAAAAAATTTCTTCATCGAGAATTCGTTTCGTTAAAACACTCTTTTGCATTTACTTCTTGCAATCGTTAAAGAAATATTATCATTTCAATATTTTTATTTCATAAAGATATCGAATCTTTTCTAGATCGGAAAGCTAGGTATTAAAGAGAAGGAATCTCGCGAAGCGGGTATAAAAATCCATACGTGGTGTCTCGCATGAATAATTCATTAAACTTCGTAAACCCATTCGTGGGGGTATAAAATTTTAATTGCAACTTCGTTATTAACGAGATCGTTCTCGAAGAGAAAAAAAGAAAGGAAGAAATTAGTTAAGGGGCCGTGTAACGGCGATCGCTTTACACGGGCGCCGAGATTCGCAATTCGCGCGTGTAAACTATGATGGACGACAACCGGCGTTGGAAACGCGGCTACATTAACCACGTATCTCGCAAACAGCCTAACCGTCAGTTTGCCCCGTGCGGATAAAAATTTTCCCTCCCGTGTTCCACCGTATTCCTCCAGCGTATGATTTATTCGATACACAAAAGAATTTAATTCCCCGGCCCAGCCTCTGAAATTCTCTTCTAGGAATGTTGGACAGATTTCACCGTTGGCAGAATACGAGAAATAAAAATTATTTTGCAACGGTTACACGGTTCGGACCTTTGACGGAATTTTCTCGCGAGATAATTTCCGCGATCATTTTCATCCTCGCGTTTCCACGTTTCCGTTTCATTTCTTTCGTTCCCCTCTCCCCCTCTCCCCCTTTAATTTATTATTAACGGAGGGTTGCTGCGCAAAGATTTTTCGCGTCTCGAAATAACTTTATCTTAGATAAATGTTAGCCGATAACAATTCGAGAGGCGATTGTACAAATAAGATGAAAATTTATCAGGAAATTCGTGGACAATTATTGTTTAGTTATTAAAAATTGATAGGAATATTTTTTGAATGATTCCAACATATATCTACCGTACTATAACTTACCTTAAAATTCTATTCTAAACCTTATTAAAAATTAGGAAAACTTTGAATCGTTACAACTCCGAAGGCAATGACGCTCGATCAACAAGTGAAAGCCCTTTCCCCTTCAAGACGCTTTCCAATTTATCCCGATAGGACTTTCGGTTCCCACGGGTAATCCTCGTGCAGAGAAAAGGGTAATTTTTTAATATTTCCTTTCGTCGCTTTCGTATCGCGTCTCACTGACCTAAAATCTAAAATTCTGGACAGATCCCTAGAAGCATCCGTGAAGCACACATTTCGGGGAAATACAGGTCATGGAAACACGGCCAATTCAAGGAATGACTCGAATCGCATTCTCTATCTCGGTTGAAAAGTTTCGTGGGTAAATTTGAGTTAACGAGCAATGACCTATTGTAATATGAAATGATTCGTTACGCACGTGGTACACGAATTTTGCCCGAAAATTTGCCCGATTCAATTGGTGCTCGCATACCGTTAGACGTACACACACGTGCCATTTAATTCTCCTCGCACCCTCCCCTCCCCCTCGCCCTATAGATTCGCGCACCAAGCGTCCGGGATTCGTTAGGAACTGCTAGTTATTCCGACCGCGTCGTCCCATACAGGAACTTGCCGGTCCGTATACAATTATGCGTACGTATGTAGCAGTCCAAGCAGGTAAAACGGTGGCGCGCGCGCGCGAAAGGGAGGCGTTTCTAAACAATTCGGCTGCGGAGGGAAGGTGGAAATAATTAGTGGCGGCGCGACTTTAATCTGGCAACATTATAGCGGTATTAAAACGGTATGTGATGTATTAAAACCCGTGTTTACGCAACACGGATTTAGCCCGCGCTAATTGAACGCGACTCGAAACTTTTGAGCCTTCCCGTGTTGTAAATAGAATTAGACTGGATTTGTTGCTGGATCTAATTAGAGGTTAATAACGTTGCGTTTAAATCGTTTTTCGGTTTCTAACGTAGATTATCGATCGATGTCCTGCAATTTTTTTATTTTGAAACTTGAAAATTGTGCGAATTCTACGATGTATCTTTTATATCCAAGATTAAAGTTAGAGGGTCGCAAGTAGAATTGGACTGTTTGCTGAATCTGATTAACGTTAATAATATTGCGTTTAATCCCATTCGTTTTTAATAGATACATATAATTGATCGATGTCCTGCAATTTTTATTTTGAAATTTGAAAATTGTGCGAATTCTGTAATCAATATATCTTTCGTATTCCAAGGTATTGCAAAATAAAATTAGACTGTTTGTAGATCTAATTAGAAATTGTTTGTTGCAATTTCACATTTGTAATAGATATAGATATGCAATTTTTATTTAAAAATTGCACGAATTTCTACCATCAATATCTTTCGTAACCAAGGATAATATTGGGTGTTGCAAATAGAATTAGACTGAATCTAATTAATTATTGCTGAATCCAATTAATAATTTTACGCTTAATCCCATCCGTTTCTAATTAATCAATGTCCTACAATTTCTATTTAAAAATTTTATAATTGTACGAATTCTACCGAATCTATCTTTCTTATCTTTCGTAACCAAGTATCAATAATATTAGAGTGTTGTAAATAGAATTAGACTGTTTATTGCTGGATCTAATTAACAATTTTACGTTTAATCCCACGTTTCTAATAGATAATCAATCAATGTCGTGCAATTTTTATTTAAAAATCATAATTATTATTAAAATTATAATCAATATCTTTCATACCCAAGAATAAAATTAGAAAATCCGATGAAAAACGAGGATTTTGTTCCACCAATTTGCACGGAGGTGAATTTATCGTCGTCTAAATATATATATACATATATATGACGGCAGAGTTCGGTATCGGCGATAAAACGGGAAGAACACGTCTCTGTTTTCCGTGTAACGTTTCAAGGATGCGAGGCCGACCCCGTGTACTATCTGATATATAGCTATAGAATACGAAGAGGCTCGTAAAGCCGTCAGGAACAAGTGTTACATCCTGTATTGAGGTTGTAAGATATTGCGGTATGCGTGTAGCCCGAAACCTATAATGGAACTTGGAGATCGACCGTTTTGAATAGCCGATCACGTGGCGGCCAATCGAGCTGCACGTTTCACCAAAGTGCTCCACCTCCCCCCTTTGAAATCGGGTTGAAAACTAAAAGTAAAATATGCGACGAAACTGAAGCACGGTTAAAGTTACGAGAGAGAGAAAGGGGGAAGAGAGAGAGAGAG